GAGACACCTGCATTCAGAATGCACGGCATTGGAGCTCGCGGTAGTAAAATTTCGGAAATTTTATTACCGCGAGCATGTCCTAAAAATCTCGGAAATTTTTATGCCCGCGAGCATGCCTGCCCAAAATTTCGGAAATTGTATTACCGGGAGCATGTCCTCCTAAAGCTACCAAAATGCCAAAACTTTAATACCGCGAGATTTCCAAAAGCTACCAAAATTTCGAAATTTAGAACCGGGAAAGAAGTGCTCCCGGTACCAAAATTTCCGAAATTTTAATACCGCGAGACAAGCACGCAAGAGGCTTTCAAGAGGAAACGCGCCAAAGGACGAGGTTACAGGGGCCAGGGGCGCGCACAAAAAAACAGAGGAGACCAGCACGACACCGTTTCATTAGAGAATTTCCGAACAATGGATCTAACAATTGAATTGGCAAAGCGCCTACCATCTTGCCGATGATCTTCAAAACACCATCTGCTTTGTCGTTCCAGTTGCATGAGATTGTTCAGAAACTGTTTGCTTTCGACGGCAATGACTTAAGCTTCAAGTGCATGTTACTGTACGTTCAATTAAGCGCACGTGGGGAAACTTTCAAAACGACTGTGCGCTTGACCAATTGATAGTTTGATAAGCAGAGCTTAGAACCATTTGAGCGTTCGGAATGGTTGCGTGAAGCGCTAACTGATGTCCCTAAATCTGCAGCCCAACAAAGCGCACACAAAGCGATTCTTCGTTTTCATTCAGCGCACTGCGTGCATCGTCCCCGTCCCTGCGCGTAAGCTCTCGAGGCCTCACAGCAGCGAGCAGGCAAGGCAGGTTGACCACTTGCCTGGCAAACTGAGCTCCCTGGCTTGCTTGGGCCTCTTTCAGCAACGAGATTACTCCCGGCTGCACCGGCCGTCCACCAGTAACGAAAGCCGGTGTAGGCATGATTCCTCAGAGTTCAGGTTCCCTTGACACTTGACTCCATAGCGGGGCTTCGTTTTGGATGCGTTGAGAGCCAGACCCGCCATGGAAGTTGCCGTGCTGGTGAGACTCGGCCCCGCATATCCGATCGGAAGCGCAAGAGCAGGCGAAGCTGCTGGAGAGATCCCCACGGTGACTGGAACGACAGGGATTCGAATGTGTGGTGCAGCGACTGCTACCGGCTGCCTCTGGGTTGGAACTGGACTCAGCACCAAAGGGCTGTTGCTTGCTTGGCCATGGGCACAGTGGCCGGGGCCCACTTGGCAGGCTTGAAGAGCGTGCTGCGTGCGTTGCGGTGACAGTGGCCGTGGCCTCAGGTCTCACATTCGACGACACGATGCCCAGAAGGCGATCTTCAGATGAGCCGCGCTGATGGGAGGTGGCCCATGTGGCCCCCTTGTCTCCTAGAGAGGCCGGAAGTGCTGGCCTTTACATCCGTTTCTCCGAGGCCCCGGCTTGGGTGAGGACGGAGAGGAGCGGCCGGAACGCCCTCCCACTGCTGCCACTGCCTCTCACGGCTCGCACATCTCAGGTTGAAACCGAGCGGACTTCTCCGGCCTGGGCCTGGCTTTGCGACATGGGCATGGGCGGCATGGGCATGCGACCTCGAGCCGTCGAAATGAGCCGAAAGATGGAGGCTGTCACATCTCCGAGGCAAGAGCTCACTTTCGGCTTCAAGATCGCACTGGACCTGACTCGGGGCGCTTTGACACCGCTTCAAGTTTGCGCTGTCTTTTCATGGGCCCGGGCTGCTCGGAGAGTCGATGTCGTTCCTGGCCCTGAGCTGCTGCCAGGGACGCCTGGAAGGCATCCCAGGGTCGGAGGCTGCGGAGCCAAACGTCGCCTCTCAGCGGAGCGCAGTGGAGCGGGAGAAAGAGGACACTAGCGGCTCTGGCGGAGTTTGAAGTTCAGATTCAGGGGCCTGCTTGTTTCAGCCTCGCATCGGCAGCGGAAGATGGTTGCTGGATGCCCAGGGTTCGCAACCTCCGTGTCCGCGAAAGCAAGCGGCAGCTGTCGTTAACAGCATCGAGCCAAGTGTTTGAGCAATTTGAGCCCCCGTCCCTGTAGGAAAGACGTGCTTTTGACTGGCTCCTTTCTCCACGCTGACCTTCACCCGCAATAGTCCCACTATTCCTTGGCATCAGTTTGATTGCGCCGTCATGTTGCAGAAACAACTGCCACGCAAGGCTATTGGCTGTTCAACATGTCCTGGCATGTCGCGGAGGAAGTGCCACCCTTCTAGGGCAACTGCCCTGGCCATCGTTTGCCATGGTGATGTCGGAGTTGAACCCGAACGGGTAGAACTGATGGCACCTTCACACGACAGGGCAGCCACATGTCCACCAGAAGCTCAGATCGAAACATCAGAGAATGTCGGCTTCGGGCCGGAGGATAGCGGATCCCTCAAGCTGTGTATCCTGGGCCCATGTACATCAATGGAGCAGGGGATATGATGAGGGTATACCCCAGCATCCTCGCATGCCACGTGGAACTCCAGGTCTTCTCCCTCCACGTAGTCTTGAAGCTCACCTTCAAGATTCCATACCTGGGACTTCATACAGTTGTAGTGGTAGTGCCTACACTCCCGGACTCCCGGACGGTGGAAGGGGAGTATGAAGAGTACGGGCAGGGTAAGCTAGGTCCCCCGACTTGGAGGCTGCTTAACTCTTACCCCCGCAATGCTTGATCTGCTGAGAAAGTCTGGCTGAGGCGAAGGTTCAAGCTGGGTTTTGGGGCATTTCGGGTTTGAAGGAAACCTGACAATGTTGGCGAGTCTAGTTCCCCTTGCCCCGTGCTCTGGCTCACAAACCAGAAGCGATGCACCCGATAACCTGGGCTCCTGACTGTTTGGTAACCCTGCTCCATGGCGGGGCCAGTCTGCAAGTCGGCATATCTCCGCCTTTCAGAGTTTCAGGCAAAATCGTCCGTCTCGCTCTCGGTACGGGCATCCTGTTTCAATCGTGCCAAGCCGGCCCGGCGATGGCGCAAATGCAGGAGAACACTCGCCTGGCCAAGCCCCCAAACACGTCTCTGGAGGACGCACGGAAACACACACGTCCACTCTGCAAGACGAGTGAACTCGACCATTTTGTCGCCTCTGTCTATTCGTACCGTCTACCATGCTGCGTCCGCCCTGCACACGTGCTCCGGTGCCAGTGAAATCTAACCCCGCTGCCTTGAAGACAAGTCCAGCCCATGCAATCCTCGGAAGCTCTGGATGAGCACTTTCAGCCTGCCGCTGTCAGGCTGCAAATGGCTGCAAGTGCAGTCCGAAGGCATCGAAACGGGGGCCTCTTTGGGCTCAGCGCCGGCTTCGCCTTCGGCCTGGGACCTGAGAACAGAAAAAGTCTCCGGCTCCTGAGACGATGGGAAATTTCGAGCAAAGCTGCTGGGCTTAGGGCTTGAAGCCTTGTCTTGGCGATGCTCCTGCCGCTCTGGGGCCTCTAAATGCTTCTGGTGCTGGTGCTTCTCGCGACGAGCCGCGGAAACCTTAAACCAACAAGCAACGAAGCAGCGCTTTCGGGGAGTTCGCGGTCTACGAGACCAAACTGGGTTTCCCACCGCTGTTCGCTGCACTTTGTGGCAAGTCACCTGTCGCGACGACAATGCCAGCGGCAATTGGGCACATGGAATTCTGCATGCTACTGGTAGGGGAAGGGGGGGTCTGCAATTAAGTGAAAATGCAAAGGTCAATGTCAAGTCAAACGGCGCCTGCACTCTCAGAGAAGGTCGCTCGGAGTGTGTGTGAACTTCGGCCTGGACAAGTCATACAGACAGCGGCACTTGGAGCTGTGGGCAGCTTAGCTGAAATTCGGTTTTCGCAGTTCTTGGTTGCCGACGCCGCTGCATAGCTCTAACCCAAGGTCTCCGTCGAAGCCTGGAAATCCGCCGAAATGATCGGGAAGATGCTCGGAAAGCAATCGAGAAACCGGCCGTCTGGAAGCAGCTGATTAGCTGAAAGTGTGGCCTTCACTCAGCCAGTAAGCTCAGGGCGCTGCATCGCTGCATCTGCTCAACACCATGTGTCCACTACTCTCTGCGAGGACAGGACCGTGGCGAGTAATGTGTCTTTCTCAGGCCAAACCTCCTGCAGAACAGTCTTCATTCGACGAAGTCAGCGTCCAACTGCCACAATTCAAGCGCATGGTATCCTTGCTGTAGATAGAGAAAACCAGAGGCTCTTTGCCAGAGAACTCCATGTCGACCGTCTTGTTCCACACCTCAGCGACACTGTAGCTGGGTATTTTTCGAGCATCGAGTGCAAACAAAGGAGCCTGGGCAGCCCCGCTGGTTCCCGTGAGTCAGTAATGATAGCCGTTCTGCATTGAAAAGGCGTGTCCCCGGCGAGGTCACAAAGGCAGTACGGGCTGCACCTCTTGCGATGCTTCAACAACTTCAAGCAACAATTCTGAGACTTCTGGGATGAAGCCTCCCACTGTCGCGTGTCGTTGGCAATGCAACAGCTGCTGCAAGTGTAACGCGAAGCTGCCAGACCTGCACAGAGTCCGCATGCTAGCTGGCACAGCATCGGCCGACCACGGCAGCACGATGCCTCATGCAAGCCTCCCGGTGCAGCGGTGGAGGAGCAGGATCCGCCCCTCTCAACCAAAAGGGAGCAAAAGGAGTCGAACGTCAACACAGTTGAAATCTTGACTGAACATCAACTGGCTAGTAGAGCAACGGCTCCAAGAATTACGAGCGTTGCTTCTCCCACAGCATGACTAGCTGTCACTTCCACTGCCGGGCACTCGCAAGAAATAGTCTCAATCCCATTGCCAGCACCAGCACTACCACCAGAAGCACCGCCACGATCGCCAACAGCAATCAAGCCACACAGAAAGTTGTAGTGCTCTGCACTAAGACTGCATCTATCGTGTTGCCACCCTGCTTCCACAGAGATTCACAGGAGTACCACTGCTTTCAGCCATGTGAATTTGCGAACAAATCACCACTCGCTAGCTACTGCCGTGCCGGTCGGCGAACAACTGTCAAAGAAGCACAGGTCAGAAAACCAGACCTCTGCTCTTGGCGAGCATTCTGTTGGAGACGCTCCGAAGGAGGATGCTGGGAAAGATGTTGAGGAGCCTGCGTGGTTGGCTGCCTCAGCGCAAGACCACTCAGTCTGGGCATCACTGCAGCACTCTTGTGGCCTCCTCGTTTCCTTCGCCGGCATCTCCTCCGTGCTGTAGAGCCTGGTCAGCACAAGGGGGCAAAGCGGCGTAGCCATGCCATGCATAGTCATTTGGACGAGCTTGAGCTCCGCACAACTGCTGGGCTTCGGCAGTGTCCATCAGAGTCTCGTGAGACTGTGCCGCAGGCTGGGAAGGAATGGGCAGGCGCACCTTTCATCAGCAGAGTTACATCCAGTTCTGGCCATGCATTGCGATTTAGGCCTGACCCTCATCGACAGTGATTCGCAGATGCAAGATAGCCTGGCACAAGGCTTTCGTCAGAATTTTAACCGCTGACATGAGAAACCCGGAAGGCGCACATTCTTGCCCCCAGGCACACCCTCGAGCATGACATCGCCCTCGAATCCCTTCCTGGACAATACAAAGAAGGCTCGTTCCGGATGCGCCGACGACGCTCAAACCAGCTAAGCCGCGGATAAAATTCCTCACTCTCCAAGGTCACTTGCCCGAGGAAGTCAGAGCCGATTCCGCGGAAGTCAAGCAAACCTGCAACCGAAGCAGCAATAAGCCTAGGCCCAGCCGACTTGCGCTGGGCTTCACTAGGCTCCGTGCGCTCGGAGAGATCCTTCAGGGAGTCATCCTGACGTTGGAGGGAGGCTCAAAGCGTGCTCATTCGCAAAGGCGCAGGCAACCTTCCGTCCTTGTCCAGCACCTGGAACTGGAGACTGGCGCCCGGGTTGTAGCGGAACTGGTGCTCCTGGAAGGTTCGCGTCCTCTCTCTGCATCCAAAAGATGGGTAAAGCCTCGTCCCAGACGGGGTCGAGCGTTTGCCTGCAAACCTGCCGCGACTTCTCCAGCAAACGCTTTTTCATGCAGCGTCATGTGACCTTCACCCATGCTTGTAGCCTGTTTTTCTCATCGGTATTTCCCGACTCAAGTCTGGAGAGCTCCCAAGACCCTGCCCAGATTGCCTGCGTTTGGAAGACGGGCTCCGCGCCCGGTGGGAGGAAGCAAACCACGTAAGGATCGGACCTCACAGCTTGGCTCACTGGCCCAGGCTACGTGGACTCTCTGGCCGCGGCTGCTTCCAAGTCCAAGCTCCGCACAGACCTTTGGCGTCGCCGCGCGGAAGGTCGGAGGCGCTGTGAACATAAACCTGGTCGCAAGATTGGCGCTCCTCCGAAGGAGTGTGCTTTGCTTGGGCATATTTCGGCTGGCCTTCAAGGTCGTAGCCAAAGCGACATGGCGCACGGGGTCAGGCATTCGGAACACCACCCTCTGCAGATGTGACTCTCATGATCTGCAGATAATCAGATTCCAATTAAATGCGAGAAGTTTCTTTGCACTTCTCGCATGTCTGGAGCCCCGGGAAGGCGGGTGATGTATTCGAAGAGCTCTCGCAGGACACAACTCGGACGGACTTCTGGCTGCAGAAATGCGCGAGCGTCCACGTTTCAGGACTTGGGCTTCATCCCGGCATTTCCTGGGACACGTCCCAGGTTTGGGGACATACATCGAGCCCACCCTGACAGCAAGCACTCTTTTAAACGAGATTTGGGCCAGTCGGAAAACCTAGTCCCCGAGAGAGGCGTGAGTGCCTCCTTGACCTGACCTAGTGAAACGCACTACCAGTAGCGTTGGTCTACTCGACCAAGTGCTGGGAGCTGCGAGGCTCCATCATCCTCATGGCAGCTTGCATCGTTCTGTGAGGCTAAAACCCCTCCCCTCCTCCCCTCAGGCTGCGGCTCGACTTCTTCGGGGCCGGCAATGTCTTCGCCTCACGTTGTCAGATGGCTCGAGGCGGTTCTGCTGCATGAGATCCTGAGTTGCGACGTTCTGCAGAACTGCCCACCTTGTCGTTGCGACGCCGCATTGGACCTCAGCAAGCATCTTGTTCTTATGCTCGGAGGCACAATGCGCCACGTCAGAGGTATCAGAAGGGACGCTAGTCTGCAGCGCAACGTGCGGGCTCAGAGCAAAGACATGATCCCATACCCAGTGCTGTCCGAGGAGGACATCTGAAATCGACACTTGATTGAGACGAGCCCTGCCTCGCAACCGCAAACTCCAGTCTACCAGGTCTACCAATTACAGCTGGGAGTGCACGCAGTTTGTATGGCTCCCCGGCCAAACTCAAGACCGGGCCGCTGTCACTACAGCCCCGACAGCATGGGCGCTCTTTGAATCCACTTCGTTGCTCTCACGGCTCAAGACTGAAAGTCTTTCCGGGGTATCGGCTTGTCACAGGACTTAGCACGTCCATGACCGATGACTCCTTCCGCCGTACATGAGAAACGATTGACGACTTTCTTGCTTTGCGGCAGCTGCAATGCTGATGATGCTAATGCTGGTAACGCCCTTGACCCTGAGCAAACATGGACATCTCGACAAGTCGTGCATTTGTCTACCTGACAAGGCCGTCCTGCGACAGAAGCCGGTCGATGACTTTGGCTAACTTCTCCGTGTGTTGGCCTCAAAAGTGGTGGAAGCTTCTGAAAAAACACTGCTGGGCTCTATGAACGAGAGTTGGGTTGAATGAGGTTGAAGCCTACGCAGTCGTCGGTCTCTGTGCCCACAATTCAACACGCTCAAGAATTGGCTCAAGCATTCAGACCGCTGCACGTCTGCGTTTGGTTTGCTGAGGCGGCTGACGGCAAAGCGATCGAGTCTTCCGTGTCCATGGTCCAACTCCAGCCTGCCGGCAATTTCTCTTCTCATGAGCTACGGCTGCGGCGCTTGCAGCGCTTCTGTGTCGAGGCCGTTGAGTACCGGTTGATGTCTTGCTCTGATTCAGGATGACGTAGCTTGGCAACAGTATTGCGGGGATTGCCCCAAGCCCAACAAAGCCACTCGGAGATGTGAGCTACCCGCTCAGAGTCACCCGATGCACCCGAAGCACCCAAGCAATGCTCGGGGCCCTCGCATCTTCCTGGACCTCTGCGCCCTGGCAAGGAAGATGTGACCATGAGGATGCCATCAATGAGGTTTCGGGCTTGTCACAAAGCTCGTGTTGAGGTCCCGCCTCCACATGCGGCTCGTGATTGTGGAAGTATTGCAGGAACTCGTCATACTCAATCATGCCGTCGCCGTTTGTGTCGGCCTGGCGCCCACTCATGCTGCCTCACACTCGGTAAACATCTACTCGCGAAAGACAGAACCCGGACCTCACGGATCAAGTCCTCCGCATCGGTCCCCTCGAACTGCTCGCCCAGAATGTTTCTCAGGTCCTCTGCCTGAGTTAACTCGGCATATAAACCGCAGAACCAGTCCCAGCGCCTCAGCCTCCGGTCTGAGGCTTCAGCAGTGATGCGCCCGCAATTCTCAATGTCAAACTTTCGGAACGTCCGTCGCAAGATATCCTGCTCGAGGTTCCGCTAGGAGATTGCAATGAGATTGTGCGCACCGGTCTCTCCTCGTGAACCTTGAGCCGTCCCTGCAGAAAGGCGAGAGGTTGCATGGGAGCTCTTTGCAAAAGCGCGTTTTGCTGCTTATGCTCTTTCAGCAATCCCGCATGCTTGTTTTGATCTTTGCTGGGCTCGTGACCTGCAGGGCCGCGGCAAGGAACTCGCTGTAGGCGATGACATCGTCGTGGTCGGTGTCCATCATGCTGAAGACTGCCTGAGACATTGCTACCCTCCAGTAAGCGGTCCCAGTCAAAAGACTCTTCTGAATCACGCACCACCTCCGCCTCCATGCTGTCGATGTGATAGTTCGTTTCCAGGATTTCTTTCATCTGCCAGCCCGGAATTCAGTGTTTGGACTCGCACTCTTGTAAGTACATGTTGCCTATGAAATCCGACAAATCCGACCCGGGCTTACGGCCATAACGGAGCTCTCATTTGGCAGTCTGGAGCGAGATGCAGCAGAACCGCCTGCAAGTGGGTGATGGTTCCGGTGTTCTCCGTGTCGAAGGACAAGAACTCATTGCGCAGTTGTGCACGATCCTGCAGGCTCTCGCATATCGTGTGCAGATCTTCGACAGGCTTGCTCTTGCCTCCGCAGACAAAGACCAAGCCATCATAGACAGCACCTTGCACCAGCAACTTTCCGCAAGCTTGTAAACACACAGCCCCGGTGTCATGCAAACTTGGTGCGAAGCAGCACGCCGGAATGTTGATGCCCTTGCAAATTTTCGCAGACTCAGCTTGATCCCATCGTCGAGAACGGTCTTAGTATATTCGGAGCTTCCAGCATGGCACATCGGGACATATCGGGACACACCTTGCGCTGTTGGGCGCATCTCAGGTGCCTGGCGTTGCTGCCACGCAAACCACCCTTCCCGGTGATCCAGGGATGGCTGAGTGCACCTGCACCGACTGTAGTGGGCATGGAATCGGTGTTCGGGGTGGTCTGGATTGCGGTAATGCGGAGCTCGTGGCAATTGGATCTTCGCCGCTTGGGGTGTCGTATGACTCGAAACTATGCAAACAGCAGCCAGCAGCTTTTCTAATAGGCTTCCGGAACCTGCGGCATCCAAGCGCTCCTCGGGGTTCATCAGCAACAGCGCCTGCGGTCAGACCACGAAGAATCCCAACAGCATGGGGAACGGGAGCGAGCCGACAAAGTATGCTCCGGACTGACTTTACCCCCCAGATCCGGGCCTTGACGAAATCTTGGGCACCGTCTGAGAGGCGCTTGAAGCGTGTGGACCAGTGGATCTTGCCAGCCCTGCATGCGCGGCTCATTTTCGGCTGTCGTCGTCGTGTTGTTTCGGCCGACTCGAGAACATAACGCAGGGGTTCCTTTCAGGAACAGTCGCTTCGGACAGCTGAGGCCCTCTCTTGATCTTGCGCAGGACTTCATTGTCGTTACTCCCTTGAAAGGGAGGACTCCTCGGGTCACGAAGTTCCGAGTCTCACGTGCTTCGATATCCGATGTCCAAGCCCTACGAAACTAGGACCTGCATGTTGGACCCCGTGCTTCAGAAGGCAACGTCGGTGCCCACCCCGTTCCCGTTATTAGCACCAGTTGATGAGGGAGCAGGGCGCCACAGGAGGCCGCCTTGGCGAGGAGACCGGCTCATCCGAGTCCCGGGCCCTGTAAGGAGCATGAAGCTGATGACTCCAAGCGACCACATGTCTGCTTTCAGGGTGTAGGACTTGGCCAACACCTCTGGGGCGGCTGCTGAGCTTTGCAAGGAGCAGCTGCAACTCCCAAGTGCATGTGACAGTCTTGCATGCTGGCCTCCGGCGCCACGTAGTGGGTGGATCCACAGGCCTGTCAAACGCAATCGGTAATCTTGCACAGACACACACGAAATCCGGCAGAACAAGTTGGCAAATCGAGTTTCGTCACGGAAGATGTTACAAATCAGTTCGACATGACAGAACTGCAGGTTTAAGGTCTAGACAACTTTCCAGAGGGCCAGTAAATAGTAAAGCTCCCAGTAGGATCTGGCACGGAAGACTAGTCCCAAGTCTGTAGCAAGGGGTGAGATCCCTAGTCGTCTGGAATGAAAGCTCCGCAAGTACCGCACAACAAGTCATCGCACTTCAAGATGTCCAGGCATTGGAGCCTAAATTAGGAAAAGCAGACGGCCGTGACGCGTGGTTGCTCGGCGACATGCCGTGTGTCCATTCCTGTGTTGCAAAGGGGCACCGTGCAGAAAAGAGGACGAGCACGTGCTGAAGTAAAGGGACGGCTGAGAGACAATGAATTTTGTCGCGAGGGACAACGGCGAAAGGTCGAGGGCCACACGCAGCAAGCATTGCATGGGGTGCAGTGAAGTCAATGAGCCCTATGGAACGACCCCCCGCACAACTGCTTAACTGCAACAACAGGCTTCCACATGAGAGAAAGCATTTGCAGAGCCGAGAGGGCACGACGATGCCTGCGACATTTTCGTACTTCGATCCCAGAACTTCGCAAATCCTTGGAGTCGCTTCAACGCCTCCTCAGGCAGGAAAACAGAGACACAGCCGGGGCAGCTGCCAAAGTCGATCAATTTGAGATGGTTGTTGTCCTGCGAAACTGCTTTTGCTCAGCATCTCGTCTTCACTGAGCAAAGAGGGAGGATCGCCGATGCCTACAAACCCCGCCGGAATCAATGCCAAGGACCAAGGCTCAGTTCACTGGAAGTCCCTTTCAAGGGTCCTTCCGCTCGTAGAGGAAATTTTCAAGCTTCAGGTCCCGGTGCGCGATCTGATGCGCATGCATGTAGGAGACCTCGGAAGCATCAGTGCCTGCGAAGAATCGGTCTCAGGCGCCGGGATTCCAGCCGCTTTCAACATCTGATGGCAGGTGTTGGCAGCGATCTCCTCCGGGCAGAGTAGCACAGAAAGCGTATCCCCACTGCGAATTTTAGTTTCTACAACCAACAGTTCTGTTGCAAGCTTGTCGTTTGTCTGCCGTGTGTAGCCATTCGCTCCAGCTTGGGGAAACCACTATGGCACACGTCACAGAATGCCGAGCCTGGCAACATCAGCGTCTGCTCATCAGCTTCGATAGCTCGTTGTTGCAGTTTGTTAAGCAACGAACTCAAAGCGATTTTACTCTTGGAGCGAGGTCGCCCGAGCCTGAAACTGTTGTGGGCCTGCCCATCAACGAAGCCTAGCCCTGAGCAAGGCAGCATTGTTCCACCTCGTTGTACACTTTGGCATCGAAGAGGCGGTCGTAGAGCTCGCCACCAGCCATATACTCCATGACCAAGTGAATCTCCTGGCCGCGGGACTTAAGAACAGCATGGTGGTGGTGGCACGGGAACCTGTTCGTTTCCGAGGAGCGTCCCAGTTTCTGTCTACCCTCTTGGCCCTCGACACAGTGACGTACTTCGCGAGTTTCGCCACACGTCACAGCTTCGGTGAATCTTTGAGTCTGTTTGGGCACGGAGAACCGCAAAGGCTGTCTTTTGTGCAAAGCTCAAGTATCAGTCGAAGCGAGGCGGTCTATTCCTGTGGTTTGAAGCGGAGTCGCTCCAGGTCTTCAAGAGCAAAACTGCATCACAGAGGATCCAATACGGTGCGGTGTGCTGTGGAGTCCCATTCCGTCAAAGGTGCAGCAGTCGGCAACAAGTTAAGTTCACCATGTTAGATGAAAATGACCATATGGACGGACATAGCTGCTCCGTCAACCGTGTCCCTACAGGCACGTGGACATCGAGATCGGAGTTCCCTGAGCCAGATCACATAAACCTCCGCTTGACAAACGACAATGATGGAACAAGCGTTGAATCTGGGAGTGGAGTCTTTCACCTTCTTGTGGGTGCCTGCAAATCCACCTTGAACCAGAACTCGTTAAAAATGCAGGCAGAGCACCCCAGGATTTCCCGGCCTGGTCATCCTCGTAGACCATCATCAGTCTGGCTATATGTGGGTGGTCCAAAGCCAGGTATATCTCTACCTGCAGGTCGTGGTGCTGAGTCTTCTCTGAGGCTCACATGCATGCAGTCTACAACGTGCAAGGCACTTCACTTTTCAAGGCAATCCGTTCTTCAGAGCGCCTTGGGTTATCTAGAAAATCTGGGTGCTAGCGTGTTCTCGCGATTTCAAGGATCTCCAAGCAAAGAGTACCTGTTTCAAACTCTGAGTCTGCACATTCAGCGCTGTCAGAGCACGGCTGGGATCCCTATGCTGTGAGACTGGCTGGCCGCAGCAAGCAACGTCAAACCATCGGGCAAGGATAGGGGTCATGCGTGCTATGGGATAGCTCGGTCGTCTCGTCGCAGGCTGCCACCATTCCACCGTCTAGTGAGACCCAAGATGTCCATAGGTCACCTCTTGCTATGTACAATACTTACCTTAAGACTTCAGAATTCTTTTCTCCTTCTCCTCTTCCTCCTCCGCTTTCTCCTCATCCTCCTCCTTAAAGGACTCAAACCAGTCCACTGTCTCCTTCTCCTCCTCCGCTTTCTCCTCTTCCTGAGAGGCGCCCTCTTCCTGGAGGCTCTCCTCCAGGGCGCCTCAAAGCCGCGAAAGCACAGGGAGAGCGAGAGAGAGTCTGATCTCACATCGCTGCAAGCATGCGCCTTCTTGTTTGTTGGGATCACTCTGCAAAGCTGCGTCGTAAGAGGGATTCTCGAGCTTGCTCCGCTTCAATCCGCTGTTCTCCAGCTGCTCTCGCAGCTCCCTGGCACGCAAGAACACAGCAGCCCGTGCTCCCGCTTTCCTCCTTTCCCTGCCCTTCCAAGCGAGCCCGCCGCTCTGCTGTCGCAGCCTGTGCTCCTACAGGGCCCGTGTACATTCCAAAAATACGGTGGGAAAGTTTTGCTCCAAGAGGGTGCGCACAATCCTCGTACTTTCGTTGCCTCACCTGCGCATCGAGTCAGCTGTGGCCAAGGGCTTCAGAGATCCTCGGGATGGCGCCTGCTCCAGGCGCTCCTCACGAGCAACGGACTTCAGCTTCAAGCGCTCCACCTGCCAAAAGCTGAGAGCTTTTCTTGGGCCTTGGGCTCGACCAAAGACGCAAGTGCATAAAAGCATGGTGCCGGCCTGCGCTTTCCGATTCGCCTCCACTCGCGACGGAGCTAGCTGCTCCTGCAATCTGCTCCCGAATCGCCATTCCGAGGAACTGCACACGACCTTGACGGCAATCTGCTGGAGGAGATTCGATTCATGCTTCACAGCCACCTGGCGCAAGGACCGCAAGGGAACCGGAGCTGCGTGTTTATTCGACTCGCCTCGTCTCGGCGGTGTCGTGCAGAGAGGATCCTTTCTCGCGTCTCGTGATTCCAGTGCTGAGCTCTGGCCTTAGGACTCGCCAGGACTCGGCGACAGGGCACGGATCTTCGAGATAACCTCGGCGGGATGTGGCAGTGAGACTCGCACCAGCGCGTCTCGCTTCCAGCCAATCCTGTCTCACGGCAGGACTCCAGCGGATCACAGGGCGGAGCACCCAATCTGGGAGTTGGCAGTCCTGTGGTCTTTCAGATTCATCTCCTTAGGAATACAACTTCCACAGAATATTCAGAACAGCTGATCCGAGACCTTGAAGCCGAGGCGAAACCGAGGCCTCCACCATTTTGTCTACCTCTCGGGGAGCTTTGAGGTAGGTGCCATCCAAAGGCTCCAACGGTGGAGGAGGAGCCTAACAGAAAGACAACTTGCCCGGCCACGCTGCTGTGATTTGCCGTCACTGTTGCTGGTGCCCACCTCGAACTTCCGGTGCATCCTGTAGTATTGCAGCCTGGAGTGCAGGCTTTGCCCCTCCTCCTCGTCATCGTCCTTTCGCACCTGACACGGCATGTGTCAGCATAGTGACTAGTCTGCCGCAGCCCGATAGCTTTCGTCGCCATCTTGCCCTTTTTTATTGAAGGGCCGCCGCCGCTCGCTTCCCATGAGTTGTTGCCCGTGCCTCGGCGGACTTTCCTGCGGAAAACCCACCGCCCATGTGATCCGTGTCGACGCCCGCAATAATTCTTCTTTGCTTGTCTGCCTGGAACGTAGAAGGGAGGCCGTGTGACCGAAGACTCGCTCTTCCCCAATTGACGGCGGAAGGACAAGAAGGGTAGAAACGCTGTCGATGTCTGCTGCAAGCGCTTTGGAGTCCACCGGCGGGGCCTCGAGCGGAAGTTGAAATAACTGCTTCGTGCTATGCGGCTCACAGGACTCGCCTTTCCCGGAGCAGCTTCAGAAAACCGCCTGTGCGAAGAGCTGCTTGAGGGGGCAAGGACTCGAACCCACGGTCCAACTGCCGGCCCGTCCCTCCTGTCCCGGTTGTTCTTGTCTCGAGGGCTTCCATCTGAGAAGCTAAACTGGTGGATAGCCTGCGACGAAGCTCTCACGTGTCGGCTTCCTGGTAGCGGTGTAAGCCTCATGCCTTGTTGTTCTTCTCCACCACCTGCACTGCAAAGCCGCAAGCTAAGACAACAACTAGATTTTGAAGCAGAACGCAATCACACCACACTTGGACTTGGGGTGCGGCATCGTTTTGACTGGCGACCATGGCCGAAACCGCCTGGCCACCTTATCACATGCGGAGACACGGCTGAATAATCTGTGGTCGTGGTTGCACCTCGTTCCCTGAAGCGGTAGAGTTTTTTGGCATAGCTGAACTGCCCGCCTGCTGCCAGGAGGGTCTAAACACGATTGTCCGGGAGCTAGTGCTCAGCATCAGTTTAGTTGAACAATCCCGGCTTCGGCTTGGTGACAGACGGCCCTGCAAAGCTTCTCTCTGCTCCTGTGTCTGTTCGGACAAGATCCTTCGAGTCTCGCCTGGAGCTGCTGTGGCCGCCATGGCCAACAGCGATGGCCTGAACCAGGTGCTTCGCACGCTACACTCCCCCCATAACCGCTTTGCCACCTCCCGCTGTTGACGCGGCAGGATCGCGACATGGTTTCCGCGAGGCGCTCACGTTGCCTCGGGGCACAAACCAAAGCAAAGCTTTAATCAAAGGCTGTCTCTCCCTCTCTCTTTCTTTCGCCAGGGCCAGGGCTAAAGGCAACTAGGGCAAGCCCCCCTCGCCTCTTCCTTCCTTCCTTCCTTTCGACGGGTTCGCGCTAGCGTTGCTGACCCGCGCCTAGGCGCCCCCCTCCCTATTTGGTTGGTAGGGAAAAGGCTTTGGGGTTGTCCAAACGGTAGGTAGCTAAGGCTCCGACCAACAGCTTTCATCGGTCGGTGTGTTCTGGCTGGAAAGTATGCCTTTTGGCTCCCCCCAACTGAGAGAACACAAGTAAGACCTGAAAGTACTGTGGGCATATGACATATGAAGCGAGGCGCCGAAAGTCAGCTGAGTGCGAGTTTCGAAGAAATGGGGCGTCAAGGCAAACGCGCGCTCTCCCCCGCTGCTTCGAGCGAGCGCCATGGACTGCCACTGAAAGGAAATGGATTAATTATAGCCTTGGAGCTTCCCCCGAATTCAACACTTTGTGCTACGCAGTTGTTAAAGGCGAGCTGAGAAGAAATTGGGATTGAGGACAACGGTGCCTCACTGAAAGGATTGATCGGAGAGGGGCAAAATGGCCCGGATAAAAAGTTCACGCCTTCACAGCTACTCAGTACGATGCGTTTCATTTACATTGGCTACTTGGAGTTCTCCTATTTCCACAACTGCACAAGGGTCTTTGAATCCTCCCGATCTAAAAAGCGGATATACTCGGGAGGCTCACATCTCCCTCACTGCTGCCTCACTGTTGCTCCCCCGTCTAGCGCGACTCTGAACCATGTGCGCTTGGATCTCCTGCGCCGCGCGCCATCTTTGGTTAGGGATCAGCAGGACTCCCCCCTCGTTGTTGCAGTCGTTGGGTGGTTGTTGTTGTGGACGTTGATCTCGGCATGGCGGTCCCCCTTGTGGCTCGTTGGGTCGCTCAGTCCTGCTTCCCGCTAAGGCCACTGGCTGTCGCTGATCATCTACGTCTGCGGTGTGTTCATGTTGTCGTCGTCTGAGGTTCCCCCCAGTCGGGTAGACTTTCATCTTCACTGCGCTCTTTTGTCACACGCTGGCTGGGGCTGTGACTGCGCTCATTTCTCTCATGCTCCAAAGCGATTTGTGGTGCTCTGCTGGAGTCAGGTCGAGCTGCAGTTCTGGCGCCCCCTTTTGTCGAGGCGGCTTGTTCCCAGTGAGGAAATACGTGAAGGTCGCTGTGGCCGTAAAGACAAGGAAGCGCTTACGGTCTGCCGGAGGAAGCGCTTGCAGTTTTGTGGTCACGGACAATGAAGTTGCACTCAAACATGCCCTTCAGCTCGCCTCCCGCTACAACGGCGCGGTAGGGTCACTGGAGTAACAGTCCAGGTTAAACCCCCCACCTCCCCCCCGGTGCGAGGAGAACGTCACAAGCTCTCCAAGCAAAGGTGCAGTACTTGAGCCAAAATGGCTACTCTTCTTCTGCGCAGCCGAAGGAAGGCAGGCAGAACCCAGGGGGCGCGCGCACGGGAGTCCCAAGGTCGGTCTCTCGCTCTCTCTCTTCTGTGCAGCTCTGCCGAGGTCTTGGCACGCTCATCCGTCTCTCGCTGAACATGGCCTCACCCTCGAAGGCTCCTGGAGTTGAGAGAAACAGCCCTATGCAGCCGCCCCACTGGGCTGGATCCCTGGTCTCTCCTAAAACATCACTCGTCGGCTGGAAGTTGAAATCGCAATCTCTGAGCATTGCAGATGCCATGCCTCCAATGGTAGGGGCGAATCACAACTCGGAAACTTGCTGACCCAGGTAATCCAGCCTCCAGCCAGGACGCCAAGTCGCAGAGGGAGACTGGCTCGTTGTGCTGGTTTTGTGTGCGGAAGAGGTGCTGCTGATGGAGGGAGTGCGGGGGTCGAGGGTCTACGTCTGCATGTCAGGGTCTGGCTCCTCTGTCAAGCAGCAATAGAGCCGACATGCTGCGGCAAGACATCCGACAACTCAGGACGTGGGACCTGAACTTTTCAGACGTTTGCAGTGACCGGAGCTTCGGGATTTGATGGAAGGGTCGGCACGGCGCCTCGTTCTTGAGGTCGGTCCGCCGGGTGTCGGAGAGGCCGTGCTTCTTGAAGCTCTTCACAGCACACTTCTCGCCATCTGACAAGATGCTGACCCTGCAATTGCTGAGCTCCACTGAAGTCACGGAGCTGGCCTTTGCTGGTGGCCAGCTGAACTGGACCGCTCATACCAGAACCCAGCACCTGAAGCTTCAAAGTCCGGAGATGATTTTCGATGCCTTGTGAGAAGCGCTTCCGTTTGCCGGTGCCACCTTGGAGGCAACCTTGTAGTCGTCTCTCAGCCGCCTCCGGACTCCAAAAGAGGTGATAGAGCGGCTTTTTTGCACAAAAGCCAAAACGGCTCCTGCCTGTTCGTGCAGTATCGCCCTGTGACGGGGATCTTGCCCTTTTTCTCTATCACCTGGCCACGGGAACTAACGTAAACAGTTTCTGACACCAAGTGAAGCATTGTTGCTAGCATTTGCTAGCATTTGAATAGGAGCAGATGAAAAAATGAAGGAGTTCCTTCAATGAACATCTGCATCCTCTGAGCTTCTCGCAGAGTTCTGACCGGGACACTTGCAGCAAAGACCAGCGCCAGGACATGCATAGACAGTCACACACCAGCATTGGCCGCATCGCTCCGAACGCCCAAGTTGGCAACCCACTTCCCAGGGCCTGCCCTTCTCTGAAGAATGTTGTCCCCCACCACACAGCTTCACAGCGGACGAGGGAAGAGGCAATGGAAAAAGCCAAACAGGTGCAGGCACACAGGGTCAGTGAGAGATTGTGCAACTTGCAAGATCAAGGAGTGCAGGGAGCCGAAGGTCGCCCCAGCATCAAAAGACAAATGTCTGACAAGCTTCCGTCCAAGCAGGGCACAACCGCAAGCCTAACATGCAAACAAGCAGGCAACAATGCCGCACCCGTAGCAATCGCAGAGCGCCCGCAGAGGGCAGCAAGGCAGCAAAGACACGCACAGCAGCCCCGACCAGCAAAGGAAGATCACCCTGCCTAAATTCCCAGCCACCAACGAGCATGCAAGTTGTATTTTCTCGTCGGACGGGCCTCTTTGGTGTCGATCCACTTGGAGTCATTGTCCACAAGGTTCGACCTTTCGACGAAGCGCTGTCGAAACTTCAGCAGTGGGGAGCTGACCGGCCTTCCTCCCTCCGTCTCTGAGATGCTTCTAGATGTGCCCAGAAACCTCTTCGCATTGGCTTTCGGACAGAGGCAGGATCATGCAAGGCACCGCAAGACATGCGAGGGCTGGCCTCTGTGTCAGAGCACGGACACCTTCCACTAATCCATCTGAGCAGCAATCCATATCGGGTCAAGGTAGACTTCTAGAAAGTGAGCCCATGTTTTGTCCGTAGTAGGCCACGGATGCAGTCCTTGAGTCAGTAGGTAGGCTGTGCAAAGGAGCTAGGGAGACTTATCGTCCTAGCGTTATCGGCAGTCAGGTAGTGCCAACGCACCCTGTGCAAGTGCATGCGTATCATTGCAGAGAGGGCCAACTGGTTGGTACAGCAAGCTTTGCCAATGCTTCGGATTCCGAGCAGCATGTAATCGCGAAGACACATGAACAAGCACACGCCGAAGTCTCAGTTGCTTCAGACATGTCACTTCCTTGTTTTTGGCGAGGCACGTTTTTGTTCTCCACTCGATTCCATCGACAAGCTAGGCTTGCAGGACCGAGTGAAGTTGGTGTGAGACGAGAGGCACAAAGAACATGAGCTTGAGGCTGCCAGTTGAAACGCCATGACAAAGCCATCAAAGTATGCAAACCAGAATGGGTCCATCCGACAGGGTCGAAGGTTCAGGCATTGTGAACTGAACTTGAGCAGGCGCACCACACGCAAGTGTGGCTTGGCACGCTTAGATTGAAAGGGCTTCTCTCAGCGTGCCAACTTCTTGGAAGCCCTGGAACCTCACGACAGATCAATGCAAAGACTGCAGTTGGCTAGGCAATGGAGCGTCTGAGGGCCCCTCCGATCTTCGGGCAGCGGTGTGAACGACAGCGGGGCCTGCCCCACCTGGCTGTCCGAGCGACAACTTCTTGCGACAACTATAACTACGATGGCGACAGCGACAACGACGACAGCAACGGCGGTAGAGGCTGCAGCTGCTGCAGCCACTAGCATCACCGCAACGAGCAACATCCACGCAGTCAAGAGGAAACGCCGTTTGAAAGCCTGAAGTACGCACCAGCACCGGCACCAGCACCACCAACACCAACGAAGACAACGACAAAGACGACGACAACGACAACGACGACGACAAAGACAACGACGACGACAAACCACAACAGCTGCAACAACAAGAACAACAATACCAATTGTAAAAAGGTACTATTCATAATGACAATAGTACCAGTACTGACAACATGCAAATAGCACAAATAACAATAAGAATGCAAATAGTGATAATAACAGTAATAACAATAGCAGTATAGTAATAACAGCAAGAATAACAAACCCTAAGAACAATAATGACCAGAACCGTCAAACCAATAATATAGACACAACTACTAACAATAATAATCAAATCCTGAATAACAACAACGACAAAACAAGCAATAATGATACTAACAAATATACCAAATATTCATAGCACTACGAATACGAACACTCATACACATACTAATCATAATCAGAAAAAGAGAAAGAGAACAGCACTAGTAACCGTGGCAACAATTGTTTGTTTAGGAATAAGACTGATGATGCTGAGAGTAATCAGAGTAATGATAGTAATAACAGTAATAGACAGTGTTTCACACAGGGGTCCGTAATGTGTCTGTGTCATTTTCTTTGACGATGATAACGACTATGATTGTAATCATTATCATAATTAATACTGACAGTAGTAAGCATAATAATAACAACAGCAACAACAAAATTACTAACAATGGTAACAAGAAGAAAACTAATGATGGCAGTAATGGCAATGACAACAATAGTAGCAATGACAACGACAATAATTTGACTATAGCAAAAATAATTACGAGAACAATAACAATAACATCAACAATAATTAAGGACCCCTAACCTAGAGCCCTGGAATGCGTCCCGCCCGAACACCCCAAAGCGGAGCACCATAATCCCAAAACCTTGCTTGATATCTTTATTGAGAAACAGCAGGCCCTGGAAGCACCGGCCACGCCTCGAAGGCGATCGGCCGTTCTGTGGGCACCTGACAAGCACGACCGTGTCAAGGTTTGTAAGTTTGTAAGGTCTAGGAATTGCTGGAAACTGCCCCGTAACACATGAGACATCAAGTCTGTCTCGCCCCCTTTTTCAGAACATGGCTGTTCTCACCTGTGCTTGCAGAAGTGTGGGTTGTGCGGTTGAAAGTGACAAGGAATTGCCATTCCTGTCCCGGAAGTGGCCTACTTCCAGCCATCAGGCCCAGTACTTCTTCTCTTGCTGCATCAAGCTACCGCCACTGCTGCTGCAACTTCTACTACTACTTCCTGAATATCCTAAACTCAAGAGACTCAAGTCAAGACACCCTCCAGAACTGCAGTACCCTGAAGCCGAGTTCTACCCTCTTCTCCATCCCTGCTACTTAGACTGGACTTCTATAAACCAGAAGACCGCCACCGGTCACTGCCACGTGGCCGCGCCTCGGCCTGCACCCCGCGGCCCGATGCCCCTCGGCCTCGCTCAGCGCCGACCTTCGGCGGCGCCTGCGCCTGAGGAAGAACCAGCATCAAACAAAGATGTGGATACGTTTCTTGCGTATGTGCCCACGTGCGTAGATGCAGTCCTCAAGAAACTGCGAAGACTGACTCTGCTGAATGATGCAACATTGCCAACTGTCAGCCGCGCTCTGGGCTTGGGAAGATGATGTGACGACGATGATGATGGTGGTGATGATGAGGATCATGATGACTATTGTCACGATTCAGTCTGTCCATCATGCTGCTGTTGCAAGTACCTTTACCATGGCATACGCTATGAGTACTTGTCCTTCATGTTCAGCTGCGAGCAGTATTGTGGGTGTCTGTAGTAAGGGTCAGGCCTCTGCCCGGGTGTCGGTCTCCAGCACGTCCGTCAGCGTGCCTCGCACATGGACGCCGCGAAGCGTCGGCCGTCTCTTCGCATCCCCCCGCCTCCGACTTCCGCTGCCTTCAGGGCCTGCTTCGCAGCGATGTCGGCCTTGATTTGCTCCACCTCTTGCCTCTCATGCAATGCTTCGAGAAAGGTCGAGCTAATAGCCAGAATGAACCTCAGAGCAGGCGACAGCTGCTCCTTCAGCCGGAAATCCGTACCCCCTGCGATTCCGAGACGAAGGTCGCTTCGGAGGGCAACTGTTTCTGTCGACAACAGCGACAAGACAAAGCACCACAAGCACCTGAGGACAACTTGTCGTTCGCAAACTGGGATTGGTCCTTGGCTCAGCTGCCGCTCGGCTCGCCAGCGCATGCTTCCAAAATAGCCGACCAAGTGTCTGCATGAAAGACACCTCCACTCGGGGAGCCATTGTCTGCGGCGTTGTCGTATTCCTGAAGCTGGGATGATTCGAGGTTGCACTCTATCGCTATGAGGATTATTTGCCTGCCTCTGTCCCTGCGACATCCTCACCGGTGGCAACATGCCCTGCATTCCCTGCAATGGTGAAGGGATCTGCGTCTGGCCGCATTTCAGTATCTTCCTCAGGTCAACAATTGAACAGAGCTTGTTGCTTAAACACCGACATCAACTGCAATTTCATCAGTGTCCTGGAAGCAACAGTTGCCGTCGGCGGGGAAGCACATGAACATCCACCTTGAAATGCTTCGGCTTTTGAGTGGTTTCCTGTCTTGCGCTGCTTGCCAAACTCAGGACACTACAGGTGGGAATCATCTGTCTTCAAGCTCTTGGCCTGGCGCAAGTCCAGCAGTCTCAGTTGGACCCAATGCAAATGGAGCTTCACGGCATGTCCATGTTTGTGGCAGTGTCCCAAGAGTGCCTTGCCTGCACTGATCTCTAGGCCCATGTATCCGGCCTTCCTCTTTGGGGCATCCGCTATGTTTGTTGTAGCCTCCATGCCGGCCTCGGTACCAGGAAGAGAGCCAAGACGGATGCCCATGCAAACGTGTATGGACGGAAATGGCCAACGGGCTCGATGCGTTGCAACGGAAATGCATGGGCAAATCCGGCAAACATGCGTGTATAATTCTATGCAAAGGGTGAGATTTCAGATGCCTCTCAACTTTTGCTGTCCTCAACTTCGAGTAACCTTCGAACACAAAGGCTTGCAGCGTCGAGGGCAGGGCACATCTTTGGTCTGGGTGCTTGCTCAACAGACCGAATACCAAAGACACCTCTCCTTGCACCTGTAGCTCCCCTGCTTCAGCGCGCTTCGGGCTCTCCAAAAAAACTACTCTACAGATGCTGAAAGCAGCCCGGCAGCAGCAACAACGACCATGTGGATGATGCAGCATGCAAGCAAGCGAAAAGCAGAATAAATTGAAAAGCAACTGTGCTCCCGACGGGCTCTTCTACCACCAAAGCTGAAGCATTGAATTCTCGGCGGTCGTACCTACCTACTGTAGCTATTGGAGTCGTTGTACGCATGCCGGTGGCTTATTCAAAGCACGAAGGGTCAGAGTCGTGCTGAGGGTCTAAGGTGAGCGTGATGTGGGCTTGGCGGCTTCGGCGGTTTTCTATGCCTGGGTCACCTGGGAGTTTGCTGCACAGGCCTTGGTAGCCTCTATCTGGGCCGTGCCTGCCCAGGTTTCCAACACATCGAAAGCTGACAGCCGTGAGTCGTGAGCGACACTCCCTCTCATGCCATGGTACCTTCCTGGAGCCATGCGTCAGGTGACAAGGGACGGCTGCTCTACACCAAGATTCAAGTGTCAGGCTGAGGCAATCTGCTTCAACCGCCAGCAATTTGCGACCCAGGCCTTTTTGGGTTGGCTGCAGGGCAAAGTAGCCTCCTCGCCGACTCGTCTGTGTTTGCGGCGGCTCTCTGGAAGGCGGCCGCAGCAGGCCCCCTGTAAGATCCATCTGGATTCACCCTGCGAATGTCGTCGCCGGAAGATCTCCAGGTCGCTTTGCGTCAGTTTTACTCCGCCGTGGATGTCGTTGGCCGGCTCTCGGGAGCCCAGCCCCTTGGAACCTTCGACGGGAAAAACTCGGCTACAGACCACCACAGCAATAAGCTTTGGCCTGCATGTGCTCTTTCAGGCAGCAGCCGAATCGTTCAACCTCCTCTCTGACAGAAGTCCCTGCAAACGACCCGCGATGCAAAGTATGGCAGAGTCCTCCACCATCCTGGATCCAAGGAATGCCTTCGCTTTCGCCTGGTCCAGAGGTGTCTCCACCTTGGGATGTCTTGGGATTGGGGCCACTGGGAGGGGCAGAGGAAAGGCGACGAAGTGGAGAAGTTTGATACGCGGTATGTCATGCCATGCAGAACGATGCTCAACAACACTACAAAAACCGGGGCAACGGGCAGTGCACCCGGTTCCATACCTGCAATGAGGCAGTCAAGGAACGTCGTGCTGACAGGTAGTCACCAAAACGAGCATTTGTTGGAGCACGGAACTCGTCGCCTCTGCCGCGGCTCCGATGTGAATGTTTCCATTGAGAAATCACCAGCACCAAGTCTAGGAGAAGATGAAACGACAAACATAGGGCTCGCTCCGCCACTGCTGCAGAGTCACATGCCCGAGAGTCGCTTTGGGCACTGAAGCTCTGGTAAAACTCTTGATGGTTTTATAGCACGAACGCCAACTCGCTTGCACATCTTCCTCGGTGTTGCATGTTTTTTTTGAGTGACAGCATATCATGTCCCGCCAAACGTGGCAGCCCGGCCATGCGCCACGGGAACGGCGCTCCTCAGTGACGGCCTGGCATTCTGCAATGCATGAGCGCTACGGAAGTATGCGGCGGAATGAGCAGCAAAATCAAAACTCAACTTACCCTGGCTCCGATGCAGTGCCTACGTCTTCAACCCCGTTTTTCTGGGTTTAGACAGGACTGCTTCTCACACAAAGCTCTGGCTTGTCTGAGGCATGGACCTTTTCGGCATCTGCTGCCATGATGTGGTGAAGGTCATGCCGCACAGATCCCACAACACAAGCTGAAGAGGCCCTTAGGTCAAACAGGAACTGAAGCAGTGAAATTCACTGGGTACTTCCTTCCGCTGTCTGCTTGAGAGCCATTGCTTGTTGGTGCAGTTGGTCGTGCTCAATGTTGCAGCAGCTGACCGTGCAGGCCTGGACATCAGCAAAGTTCCAGATGCAGACGATAGTTTACTCAGCAAGCCAGGCATCTGAGGGTAAGGGAGCAGAGACTGTGAAGGTGGTTTGGGATGTTGGGAACTTTATGCGCTAGCAGTCCTACGGTGAATGTAAACTTTCACGGCATATTGAGTGACGGCAAAGGCTCGCCACCTGGTCACAGACTTCGCACGGTGGCGGGGCCCTTAAACAAAGCATCAACTGCAATAGTGTAACACCTGGGTTAACACCCGGACTATGGAATCTAGCGGGGCGAGATATCCACATGACAGTGGCTCTTGTAGGGTCCACAACCTAAGCTCTGCTACCATTGTGGCGACTGAAACCCGAGGCACGCGATCCTGTTTGGCCACTGAGAAGGTGATGACTTCGCGGCTGTTCAGCTAGACTTGCTGCTGATTCTGGTGCAATGACTCTATTGCTGATGATCCCTGTGGCTACGATTCGGTGGCTGGCAGTGCGACTCTGATTGTCTAAGTAGAGCTATCGCTTTGACGACACATTGTGCTATCAGCATTGCCATGATCGTTGGTGTTTTCGTAGTGATACTATCACCTGTGACGATCACGAGCAGGATCACATCCAACAGCCACATTTCCAACTTAGGTCTAGTCTTGTTGATCAGCTCGGCTAGTCGTCTTCGTCCAAGGGCCTCGGCCTCACTCTTGCGGCTGCCTCCTTCCTCTTCTGAGCCCACTTTCGGGCTTCCTCCTCCTCGTTACCGGGCATGTCGGGGTCCTCCTCCTGAGGCAGAGGAGGCTCCAGGGCTGGGCAGAAAATGCAAGGAGCGAAGATCTCCGTACCTTTTTGCCTTGCTGGAAGTCATCTCTTTGTGGCTGAGAGCTGGCTTGACACAAGCGTTTGTGAAGGGCTCCTGCTGGTTGGTCAGTATTCTGAGCTCTAGTTGCAGACCGAAAGGATAAGTTGAAGCTTGCTGCCTTCCCTTGCCCGTAGTGAGTTCTGGCTTCAATTCACTGCATCTTCTGTGCTCCTGTTCTGCTATCACCCTTCTTACCGGCGTGCTCACTGCCTGAGCTGGCAGAAATCTCTTCTGCCGCTATTGCATCCGCAGGATGCACCCAACATGGACTGTGAGCGATGAAAACAGCTAATGAACACAGGAATAAGTATGAATCGCGGACAAAGCAGGACAAAGCCATTCGCACTGTATTAGCAACGTCGACATAGTGTCGACAGCAACATGTGTATCGGCTTTGCACAACGAGGCTGCTCTGGAATCATGCTGCTTCTGAGAGTAAGGAAAACAGACTAGGAAAAGAGGTGCAACCAACCTGCAATGAATCATCACGGAGGCAGCCCGTATTTCTAAGTCTGTGTGTAACTGAAAGTCTTGGAGCTCTTCCTCTAAGGACTGGAACATGTAAGCTGTGCAGGAACCAATGAGCAGCTCGCTTGTTGTGGATGCAACCAGCGTCCTTCTGTGTGTTTTCATGTCAGTGCATAGTGCCTCGGGCGAGTTTCCCTAGACTAGACTAGGGTCTTCTGCTTTGCTGCGCGTCGGCTGTTGGAATAGGTTATGGTCCCGCACACTCGCCTGGAAGACATAGCCGCCCCCGGCAACACCGCCTTCGCGGCGCGGCCGTGCAGGACCAGCAGTTCCACCAGGGGCCACCTCGCGGGCCAAGGCTTCGCAGACAGCAGATGTTGCCGACCGAAAGAAAAGGGACTCCTCACAACAGATCGATGGAAAGCAGACCTCTACTGAAGTCAAGCAATCATGAAGAAGGGGTGCAACCCCAACAGTCCCCTCTCTCCAGCAGGATTATGAGAATGCCCCAGCTCTCAAGTTGGCCCTGGGACAGACACTGTACTGCCCGTGCAGAATTCCATCTGATATGTCCTTCAGGACCTGCATTTGCATGGCCTGCTTGCCGTAGACACGTAGTCCCAGCTTCATGAGCTCGAACCGCAAGACCTATGAAGCGGGAGGTTGTCCGATCTTTTCATGGAAGGTCAGCTGCGGGGCCCTGTGGCTGTGCCTACAGCAAGAGATCTCAAGCCCTGCAAACTTCTTCAGAATGGTTCTCGCAGAATTGCTCCCGCAAAAAAGCAGGCAAGCAGCGTCCACTGCGTCTTGTAGCTGGACGTAGTCACACTCGGCATCATCTTTCAAGGCTTCCTGACATCCCGTCGCATGGGCCAAAACCATTCATCAAGATACGTTCGAATCTCGAATGTCGAAACTTTCGCCTTTACAGCTTCCAGCTTTGGCTGCAAGGTAATCCGGGCGTCAGTCGGGGCTTTGTAGCCTCACGCACTTGTAGCTCGCAACGGCTCCAAAAGAAATCTTGGCTGATGCCGGTGCGGGTCCAGGCCTAGTTCAAGCAGATTTTGCTCTGTCTGCTCGAGAAGGTTTGCAGCTGCATACCTGCACTGGAAAAAACTTTTAAAGACTCCCAGACTTCGATACTTCTGGCCGTCGCACCTCAACTCGAGCCTGAACTTGGCCTCCTCGTCGTCGAACTCCTTGTCCTCAGCGTCATCTAAGATGCGCTGCACCTGCACGCCCAGAGCCAGCAGCTGCATTGACTGCAACCAGAACTGCAGGGCGTGAAGACCCGCAATGGATAATGGATCAGACGTTGCATGCTCAAGCCGCTACAAACCCAGAAGCAATGCTTTGGCAGCCAGACCTCCTCGTCGCCCAGGGTGGAAGAGTCCTGTGTCCCAGCACAGACTGACAGGGAGGGATGGATCTGCTTCGAATTATTCAGGAACCTTGCAACACATTTCGAATATACGTCGACTAAGTCTACAAAGCCTGCGATCTGATAAC